GTGTACTGCCAGAGACTGAGGGAGCATACTAGGTAACACGGACAATAAATTGATATTGAAACATTTCAAGGAGCCCATGTTTTGAAAAAATAACTTGGCTAGTTTAGCGTTTAATCGCATACATTCGTCTTTTCGCGTAAGGTATGTATATTTATTTATATAGCACGATATTTGGCTTCAAAACCGGGTTTCAGTATCCATGAAAGTCTAATGAAAAATAACGTGAATTTGTATAGTGCTATGAATATCGAGTGATTATAATTTGTAATATAACAAATGTTTGTTTGTGTGTTTCTTGTCGTACTTGACTTTGTTCACGCGGTCCTACTCTGTTCCTGTTTCTTTGGGATTGTCAACACCACAGTCAGTCAAGTGTCACACTAACATCCAGTGGCTTTTGTGGATGTTGTGGGGTTTTGACTAGACAAACAAAATCTCACAGGCTTCAGGATGTTTCTGTTCTCCAAAAAGAAGAAACCTGGTGAGGATTCCATAAAACGCCTGGAGTACCAGCTGTGCTTGGTGAGTTTCTTTCTAGTGTAAGTGGCTCTTTTTTTAGCAGCATGTCTACTGTCATATTGCACTGCATCAAATCTTAACACACATGCTTATGGTTTGTGCAGGCCAAAGAAGCAGGTGCTGATGATATTCTGGACATTTCTGCCTGTGAACTTACAGAGGTGAATTACAGAAGTCCTACAATCATTATTTACATATTGGTGAAATGCTCATCTAAGACAGAGGATGAATTATTGCTAGATATCTGATATTCCTTCCATATCGCAACAGTTCTTACACAATGCTTGTCTGCAGGTTCCCTCCAGTGCCTTCTCCATATGTAAAGTACTCCAGAAGAAAGTGAGTCTATTTACTGCAGTTTTTTTCTTCTTCTGAACTTTTGGTGGTCAGACGGAATAGATCTTTCACAGCACTTTCCACTTTAACTGCAGGTCTTAATTCTTCATGGAAATGGCCTGAGGTCACTTGTTCCTAAAGGTTGCTGCATTGGTGCCTTAGTAACTTTAAAGGTGAGAGAATTTGATTGATGATGACGGTGCCAAGCAAATAACCATTTTACACTTCTGTCCAGTGACAACATCTCTGTGTGTCAATTCTTAAGGTGTTGGACCTGCATGAAAATAAGCTCACATTACTTCCTGATGACATTGGGCAGCTTTTGTCCTTACAGGTATATTTATTGTATATGAACAAAGCGGATGTGAATTGATGTTTCTTACGTGGCATTTGAAAACACAATACTGTTATTGATGCTGATTCGTAAAAGACCTGTTGACATAATTTCTGCATATATCACTATGTAGCGCTAGGTAGGTTATATGTCAACGGTTTGGGGTCACTAAAAAAATTTTTCAGCAAGGGTGCATTCATTTGATAAAAAGTGATAGTAAAGACCTCTAGTAAAAAGCAATACAACTTTCTATTCATCAAAGAATACTGAAAAAATGTATCATGGTTTTACAGGAATATTAAGCAGCGCAACTGTTTTGAACATTGACAATAATAAGACATGTTCCTTGAGCACCAAATCAGCATAGAATGATTAGAGAAGGATCATGTGACACTGAAAACTGAGTCATTGAAAAATGTTTAAAAAATCAACTTTGTCATCACAGTAATAAATTACTTCTTAAAAATATATTATGATAGAAAGCAGTTGTTTTATAATATTTCACAATATTACTGTTTTACTGTATTGTTTTATTAAATACAGCCTTGGTGAGTATACGAAACTTCCATCAAAAACAATTAAAAAATAAATCCTCTAGAGCAAGGAACAATTTTCTTTAAATCATTTTTAGTTGATAGTTAGTATCCTATTTATTGCTTACATACAACCTTGATTTCTTCTCTAAGGTGCTGAATGTAGAGAAGAATCGCATAAAACAGCTGCCGGACTCTATAGGGGATCTACGGCATCTACAGACACTTAATGTGAAAGGTTTGTTTTGTGCTTTTTAAAAATGTTTTTGCGCACAAAAAAGTATTCATTAATATCCATTTTTTAGCATCTTCATTAGAGCACTGCAGTAGATTCCAGGTAGTTATTAACCTGTTTCAGAGAAATTTTGACAGTCATTTGAATGTTCTGTTAAAGGGTTTATTTTAGGCCTTTTAGGCACTATTTTACATCAAATTAAATGGTGAAAAAGCCTAAACCATTTAAATTAACAAAATGTTTTGATGGGTATAGAGAACAGCCTTACTGTCATTCCTGTGTCTGTGGGACGCATGAGCAGCCTGCGTACACTGGACATAAGTGAGAACAGCATTAGAGAATTACCTAAAGAACTGGCCAGTGTTCGCACTTTGGAAGTGAGTATTTTAAATCTTATGCCTGTTTAAGATAAAGATGTTGGAGCATATTTGTACAAGCTCAAATGGCAATGTGACCACTGCAAAGACATTGTCATGTATGTATGTGTTTATGTGGTGTGGCAGAGCCTGATCCTAGACGCACAGGTTATGAGCTATCCACCTGCGTCAGTGTGCACCGCCAGCACAGAGGAAGTTCAGCGCTACCTCTGCTCAGGTACAGATCTGTTTTCAAAGACACTGAGCAATATTTTACACAATATTCTGTAATTGCAGACTGATAAATACAGATTTTGTACAATACAGCTTATGCACAAGATCTGGTTAAATATTATTGTAACCATGTGTGACGGTAGAAGGCCATTCTGTGCAGCTGATTTGTTTAGTCATTTCATAATTAATTTGAATGGGATTTAGAGATGAGTCTGGAGTATTGCCCTCCATCTCAGTATCTCCTGCCTGTGCTGGAGCATGATGGAGGGAAGCAGGAGGTGGACTGTGTTGATGGTGAGGAGAAAGCCTGGCAGGTCAGTCATCACTATTTATCAACCATTTCAAACAGTGCCCAAAAATATTGTGTGCCATTTGATCTGTGAATGTAACATTTTCTATCCGACACTGCAGAGCAAATTCATGGACTATGAGAAAAAAAAGGTATGTTTGATTTGGTTTCTTTTTGTTATTGTTGGATCATCCAGTGAAGTAGTATTTATCTCATTCTCTCTGTTTCTCCACTAGGAGCAGAAACAGCTGGAAAAGTTGATCTTTGAGAAAGATTTTGAAGAGAAACAGAGAGAGCACACTCAGCTCTTCCTCCTCAACAACTCCCGCAAAGAGGATGTCTTGCTGTCTGTCAAACTGGTAAACATTTTGATTGTAGAATTACAAAAACAATCTGTTGTACAATATGTTTTTTTTCGCCCCCGAAAGAAGTCAGTTTCAACATCTCGCTAAGCCAGGCTGTTGTCCCCACATGCTTCAAAGCCACCACCATCATTCCAGTCCCGAAGAAGTCGTCTCCATCCTGCTTCAATGACTACCGTCCAGTTGCACTTACCCCCATCCTCATGAAGTGCTTTGAACGGCTAGTCATGCACCACATCAAGTCTGCCCTCCCGCCCTCCCTGGACCCCTTCCAGTTTGCATATCGGTCCAACCGCTCGACCGATGACGCCATCGCCACTACCCTCCACTCAGCACTCACACACCTGGACAAAAAAGACTCATACGTCAGAATGCTGTTCATAGACTTCAGTTCAGCATTCAACACAATCATC